GGGTAGAGTATTCTTGGCTGTAAGTTTTTTCCTTTTAGCACTTTAAATATATCGTGCCACTCTCTTCTAGCCTGTAAGGTTTCTGCTGAGAAGTCAGCTGATAGCCTTATCGGGTTTCCTTTGTATGTAACTTGTCTTTCTCTTGTAGCCTTTAGTATTCTCTATTTATCTTTAATTCTGGACATTTTGATTATGATGTATCTTGGTATGGGCCTCTTTGGGTTTATCTTGTTTGGTGCTCTCTGTACCTGGATGTCTGCTTCCTTCCTTAGGTTAGGGAAGTTTTCATCTGTTGTTAAATCAAATAGATTCTCTGCTCCTTTGTCTTGCTCTTCTCTTTCTGGGACACTTATAACACAGATGTTAGTGCGCTTGATGTTGTCCCAGAGGTCCCTTAGACTGTCCTCACTCTTTTTAATTCTTTTTCCGTTACCTCTTTAGCTTGGGTAATTTCTTCTAGTCTTTTGTCTAGCTCGCAGATCCGTCCTTCTGTATCCTTTACTCTGCTTTTGAGTCCTTCTAGTGAATTTTTCATTTCCAGTATTGTAGTATGCATTTCTGATTGGTTCTTTTTTATATCTTCCAGTTCTTTGTTGACATTCTCACTGAGTTCATTTATTCCTCTCCCCACATCAGTGAGCATCCTTATCACTCTTTGTTTGAACTCTCTGTTGGGTAGGTTGCTCATTTCTGTTTCACTTAGTTCCTTTTCTGGGGTTTTGTCCTGTTCTCTTACTTGGAATGTATTCCTTTCCCTTCTCATTTTGCTTCTTTCCCTGTGCTTGTGTCTGTGTATTAGGTAGGGCAGCTATGTCTCCTGCTCTTGGAGAGGTGACCTTATATAAGTGATGCCTTAGGAGGCCTGCAGTGTCCTTCCCTCATTTCTCGATGTTCCAGAAGTGACCCCTGTGTGGGCTATGTGTGTCCTTCTGTTGTGCCGTGTTTGCTCTCCCTGTAAGCGCCCAGGGAGGCTGAATTATGCTCCTTGCCAGCTGTTGTAGTGCTCAGCTGCTTGTAGTTGTTGTGGGCCCTTCAGTCTCTTTATCAGGTGTGGGGAGCCCCAGCACAGTTGGCTGCAAGGTCTAATAGCACATTTGTGTTGCAGTATTTCTTTTAAGTGAGTAGGCCCTCAGCGTGGCAGGTTGTTAGGCTCAGGGGCTTACATTTGCTATAATCCTGCAGCCTTTAGGTCTCTTGTCAGCTCTCTGAGGATTGTAGCTGGGTGGGGCTGGCCTCAGGCATGGGAGCACCCAATTGTTTCATGCTTTGGAAGGTGGGGCAAACCCCCTATGTGGGTCTTTGAGAAGCACAAGTCTTCTGCAACTGACAAGCCCTGCCGCCCACAGGTCCGCACACACAGTCAACACAGTCCTGCCCCGTGTGCGCGCCCCGACCTCCTGAAGTGAACCCAGTCTCTTCACGGCGGTAGCCCCACACACTCCACCACTGCCCCACACTCTCCACCCGCTCCTTGTGCACACTCTACCCCACTGAAGTGGGCTCAGTCGCCAGGCTGCAGAGAATCCAGTCACCAATCTATGCAGGCCCACAAGTTGCCTGAGGGCTTGTTGTTGGGTGGGGCTAGTGCCTAGGGTGGGCTGCCTGCCCTTGCTGAGCTGCATTAAATCGGTGCTCTAGTGGGTGGGGCAGACCTGGGCTAGCAGGCCCCAGGGAGAACTCCAATGGTGTCTGTGTCAGCAGGCCCACACCAGGCCACAACAATGGCCGCCACCAATGTCCCAGTCCCTGGAGAGGTCTCACCTCTCACTGTGATGCACTCAGAGCCTATGAGGTGATTCTCTTTTCACCAAAGCACTGTGCAGTTTTCTTTCTGGTGATTTTAGGTTGCTTTCTGAAACGGGTGCGTTTGTGCGTGGGCCCTTCAAGAGCCGGTTTTAATTTCTTTGTGAAGCAGCTTTTCTGGGGGTACTCCCCAATGTTTTAGTAGCAGGCAAAGTCAGATATTATGCCACTCATCTCGATTGTGCTTGGTCCACAAAATGCCCACAGTGGGGGCGCTCCCCGCTCAGGCCCTGCTCCTCCAGGGACGGACCTTTGGGCTGCTCCCGGGCGGCCGTGAAGCTGGCGGCTTGTGAAGGTGGCGTTTTTTTTCTCTCCAGAAGGGAGTTTCTGCCTCTTCCACCTCAATTAGGATTGTCCTTTGTTGCAGGAACTCCTCTTATCCAGTTTTCAGTTCTCTCTCAGTGGTAATTTTTCCATGAGTAGTTGTAAATTGGCTGTGTCTGCGGGAGGAGGTGAGTTCAGAGTCTGCTTACGCCGCCATCTTGACTTCTCTCCGTGTCTCTTCTTTTTGCTTTATGTTTCCCACTGTTGAAAAATAAATTGAAAAGACTTTTGTACTAACTTATATTTTTATATTAAGATGAAAAAAATCCTTACCGATTATCTTATGGATTTTAATGATAATTAAGATTGTTGTGATGAGATCAGAAAAGAATATTTCTCAAGTACTGCATATTAATGCACATAAACTTCAGGAATAATAATTCCCAAGTAATCTTTAATAAGTTTCCTCTATGATGGCATGTACTTTAATAGTAGTCTGCCCTGTTAGGTTTTCACTTTTACTTTCAGTTTATTTCTCAAAACGTTAAAAAAATTTTTTTTCACAGTTACTGAAATTCAGAATTGCAACCTTCAGGTAGCAAGTGACATCTTTGGAGGAAAAGAAGACATATTACAAAGGCAAAAGGAAATAGGTGGCTGTAAAATTATACAGTTAACTTAGATCATATAGAGAATCTAAATAAATTAGACCAAATTCAAGTTTTTACTATATCCTTTTCAGGCCTAAAGTAGCCAAAATCTCATAATCTAAGCTTTCTGTGTTTTGTTTCCAGTCTTAAAAACCCAGCCAGAAATATAGTTGACAAAGAAAGTATTCATTGTGGGAAAATTCTCCTGAGATTTATTTTGTATGTAATTTATATCCATTTTCTCTGGTTGACTAATACGCCTCATTTTAATTGATAAATGTGTGCATTTAAACACTCATAAATCATTTGTTTCCTGATTATGAAGCACCTCATGGAAGTCCATTTCAAATGTACCTTTTCTGCTTTTTATTTTGGTCGTCTAGGGCGTCTGAGTTACAAAACAGTGTAGCTTATGACTGTGTACAGCTCCACGGAGGCTGGGGATACATGTGGGAGTTCCCAATCGCAAAGTGAGTATGGCTTTTATGTTACACTCTCCTGGCTGATGGGAAGAAAAGAAAATTTCCTTCCTGTACTTTGTACATTGTACATATATTCTATATATGTACAATGGGAATATAGAGGGAAAGGAGATGCAAAATCTTTATATTTTTCAATTGACTGCAGAGTGTGTTCAAGCAGATTTCCATGGCTTTATGTTATTGGCTCACCACTAGGATTTTGTTATTATTAAAGAAAGTGAAGAGACCAATACACTAAAGCTTGAGGGTTGGCTTCATTTGAATCATTATATAGAAGGACTAACATTAATTTTTTTATAGTTGAATAATATTTTATTTTATTAATTAACTATAATTATTCATGTTATTTCTCAATTTTTACTATGACAGCAATGCTACAACAAACACCTTTATACATTTATCAGATACGTGTTTTTGATTACAACAGGACAGATTCCCAAAAGAAGTATTGTTAGTTCGAAAGTATGCATATTTTAAATATTAATACATTTCCAGACTATTTCCTTCAGTTTGTAGCAACTCATACTCAAATGAACAAAGTCTGAGGATGCCTTCTCCTCCTAAGCTATGAGTGTTATTGCCTTTTAAACTCTGTGCTAATCTAATGGGTAAAAATAGGTTATTATTCTTCCTTTAATGTGCATTAACTATTATTTTATTTTGTTTTACTGTGGTAAGAACACTTAACATGAGATCTATGCTCTTCACAAATTTTTGAGTGTACCATACAGTATTGTGAACTATAGGTACAATGTTGTATGCGGATCTCTAGAGCTTATTCATTTTCCTTAATTGAAACTCTATGCCCATTAATTAGTAACCCCCTTTTTCCAATCCCCTTAGCCACTGGCAACCACCATTTCTGTTTGATTCTATGAATTCGACTATTTTAGATACCTTATATAGATGAAATCATGTAGTATTTGTCTTTCTGTGACTGACATTTAACTTAGCAACATGTCCTCAAAGTTCATCCAGGTTGTCACAGATTGCAGAATTTCCTTCTGTTTTAAGGTTGGATGGAATTCCATTGTATGTATATACTACATTTTCTTTACCCATTCATCTGTCCATGGACATTTATGTTCTTTCCACATCTTGGCTACTGTGATTAATACTGCAATGAACATGTGACTGCTAATATCACTTGGAGGTCCTGATTTCAATTCTTTTGAATAGATACCTAGAATTGTATGGTAGTTCTGTTTAATTTTTTAGGAACCTCCACGCTGTTTTGCATAGTGGCTGCACCAATTTACATTCCCTCCAACAGTGTGCAAGCATTCCAATTTCTCTACATCCTCACCAACACTTGTCTTTTGTTTTTTTGTTAATAACCATCCTGACAGGTGTGAGGTGATATCTCATTGAGATTTTGATTTGCATTTCCCTGATGATTAGTGACATGGAGCATTTTTTCATGTACCTGTTGGTCATTTATATGTCTTCTTTGGAAATATCACTTTTTAAAACTAAAGAAAAAAATGACACTACAGAAAAATTAACCTCCATATGAAAAGGATCTAAGTTGTCATATCTTAAATATTTGATCATTTGTTTTCCTCTAAAAGACAAATCAAAAGTATTAATTTTTTCCAACTAGAATTATTTCCTTCAAATTAAAAGAAATTAAATTTCACTTTTTCATTGTAGCACGTATGAATATTCCTGTCATTAGTTCCCAGCAGTCCCAGTTTGTCGATAGGTAGCATCCTCTTCCGTATTTCTTCCTCCATCTCCATAATTTCTTCTTTCCTTCTTCCAATAGTCTTTTGCCTTGATAATATCCCCATGGCGTTTCTCCTCATCACTCTAGAAAATATATTTTCCTCTTATTTAGCAATATTTTCAGTTTATAAAATTTTCCCAAGGAAGTTTTTGCTATATAGAGAGAACTTCAATTTAGTTCTGAATCTGAGACTGAGAATCTTATGGGCTTCTAAAAACTTTCTAATTTTAATCTAAATACAGAGTATCCAAAGGGAAAAATTATCAAACTAGTATTCAAACTGACTTTCAAATTTGTCATTTTGGCAAGCATAGTGAAAACATTTGATAGACTTATAGTTTTTAATGAGGAAAGTAAACATTTTATTAAAGTTACATTAAGAACAGGAGCTCCAGCATAGATATAATTTACTAATTTTCTCTAACCATTAGGCAGCTCAGAAAGCTTAAATCACAGCGTGTATATAATATATAACCTTTTATAAAAACTCAGCCACAGTGAGAGCTTTTCCCTTCTTTGGGAATGCAGGCATGAAGTAGCTAAATGCTTTCTTTTTTAATCCATCCTTGGACTTGGATTTTGGTATATCCTTTTCAGAACTACTTCAAATAGGTCTTAATCAGAAGCAGATTTATTTTTTTATCTTTGTATAGTCATGAAACCAGAAGTAAACACTGAGTTATGCTAGCAGAAATTAAATTATCACTGGAATTTTTCCTGTGCATTTTCATGTTTTATTCATAATATTAATTCATCTTATTCACAATATTGACAATATTCACAACGCTAAGAAAGTAAAATAATAATGGATGTTTATGTTTTCCTACTTAACTGTGCTGTTGCAACTTCTGCTGGGAATGTAGACATGTCGTGGTTCAGTGTTTGTCTAGTTTAGTTTGGGTTATAAGAAAGGCATCCCAGGTGAAGAGGAGTCAGCCATCTACAGGGCCCACGATCAGAGTGGAGCATCAGTCTTGGTCTCTTTTCTCAGAGGCAGTTACTTCAGGTGAGTAGCAAGCAAAAATTGTAGCTTGATGGCTTGTTTGAAATCCCTGGTTTCAATTTGAGAGACTTCTATTTCCTTTCAGAAATAATAATCCCCTGTTGCCCAGCTTGTTAGTTCAAAGATTGTATGAACTTTTAAACTAGACTGCTATTTCTCTCCCCAAAGACATGGGGAAGGAACTTTTTATAAGATGATAAGAGAGAGTAGTAGATAATATCAAAAAGCTAATCCGACACATTAGGTACTGTGTGGATGCAGTGTGCTGACTTTGATTTGATAGAAAAAAGTCATTGTAATTGTGTTTCTTAGATCCTCAGATTAAGCTATATTATTTGTGTGTGTGTGTGTGTTGCTGAGTCTTGCTTTCACAGATAAAAGAGGTACTTTTTTGTTTTGTTTCATTTTATTTTGGGGGTTTTTTTGTTTGTTTATTTTTAAATAACTGGTCTTGAGCATGTGAGTTTGTTTCAGTCTTACTCATTAGGCTTGGGGCCTATGAGAAGTGAGGCTTATGCTTTGCCATTTTTCAGGACTTCTCTGCCGTGCTGGGAAGAGCAGAGATACAGAGCTTCATCACTGTGTGGCTAAGCATTCCTTCTGCTGCCTTTCTCTGTTACTTTTAGTTGATGACTGAAATTAATTAGTAACCTATAAAAGGTCTACTGATCTCTGTCATTATCTACTCCATTGGAACTTCTTTAAAGTGAAAAAAAAAAGCCCAGCCTAGGCCATCACTGAGATTGCTGAAGTAGGCTGGAATGTCGGGTAGGTGCAGTAAATGTGGGGGCTGGATTTCGTGGGCAACAATGGAATCTGTTCAAAAGAAGAATTATATTTGAAACACAAATGTCTCTGGATTTCAAGTTTCATCAGAGAGTAGGTATTGAGACTCTAAAATTCCTTCATAATATAGTAAATCAAATCAGTAAATACTTACTGAATGCTAACCATTTGCACGGTACCATGAGGAATATGGAGAAGAATAACCAGAATTGGTCATGTTCCTAAAGAGCTGGCACGTTTAATTTGTCTCAGAAATTAAATTAAAAAATAAACAAACAGGGGCCTGCCCGGTGGCACAGCGGTTAAGTGCACGTGCTCTGCTTCGGTGGCCAAGGGTTGGCAGGTTTGGATCCTGGGCGCACACCGACACACTGCTTGTCAAGCTATGCTGTGGCGGTGTCCCATATAAAGCGGAGGAAGATGGGCACGGATGTTAGCCCAGGGCCAGTCTTCCTCAGCAAAAATAAAAAGAGGAGGATTAGCATCGGATGTTAGCTCAGGGCTGATCTTCCTCACAAAAAAAAAAACCAAAAACACACAAACAGATTTTATGCTTAAAAAAAATGCCTTTCTGTTTGTCTGCTAGGAAAGTCCAAAGTTTTGATAACAAGTCCTGCGCACCTGGGCCAGGGACAAGATTGTGATATAATAAGAAAGATACTTGCCAAAGTGCCAGTCACGTAACAGGGACCATTAAATAGCAGCCGTTAATTAGTAAGGTATTAACTTCTCTGCCTCTCAGTTCCTTTACCTGCAAAATGATGATAATATTTATCCTCCCTGATCCCTGAGAGGGTACATTGAGATGAGAAAAGGTAAAAAGAACTATACAGTGTCATGGTTACTGTCATCACTACCAAAGGTGAATTTCTGATAACATTTTTTTGTTTATTTGTGGCAATGGACTCACCTACTCAGTATTTTAACCTCATACGTTACTGGAGTGATTATTAACCATTTCCAAAAAATAAGTTACTTGTTAACTTTTTGGGAAGTAATATTTTCTGAAGCATCAATTTATACCCTGATGGCGGCAGTGGTGGTGGGAATCTAAAGAGATGTTAGAAAATACATACTTTCTTTTTTCTTTTGTTTTCTATAAAACCAATGGATTTAAACTTTTTTGGGAAACATTAACGATAACAAGAAATTAAGATATTCCATCCATTTCTAAATCTAAAACAGCATCTTTAAGAATGCTATTGTATGTGCTGAATTTTACAAAATTAAAGCAAATTAAACATATTTATAAAAGTTATTTTGAATTTGTAATCTCTAGAGCAAACTAAAAGAAAGCTATGCAGATGATCAATATCTTAATAGAATTTTATGATTATTCCAATCTAGGATGAATGCCATACTGAAAAAAAGTAACTTATGAAGAACTTTTATTGTTTGAATTTCATTAAATGAATACTTTAATAGTTACCTGATGAGACAAAACTTATAATTTCTAATATCTTTTATTTATTCATTCGATCATCTTCTGATTTATCCAGAGCTTATGTGGATGCCCGAGTTCAGCCGATCTATGGCGGTACCAATGAAATAATGAAGGAGCTGATTGCAAGAGAGATTGTTGGTGACAAGTAGACATCTGCCCACATCCTGGAATCTGATTACAACTAATCTGGTTTTAAATCTACTCGAGATAAAATGCAACCTGGAAAGGGAGGAAACACTAAAATGTTTTTTTGTGAGGAAGATCAGCCCTGAGCTAACATCTGATGCCAATCCTCCTCTTTTTTGCTAAGGAAGATTGGCCCTGGGCTAATATCCATGCGCATCTTCTTCCACCTTATATGTGGGACGCCGCCACAGCATGGCTTGACAAGCGGTGCATCGATGCACGCCTGGGATCCAAACCTGCAAACCTGGGCTGCCGCAGTGGAGCATGTGCACTTAACCACTGTGCCACCAGGCCAGCCCCACTAATCATGTTTTTATATGCTTTATGTCTATGGAGAAAGAAATCAAATACAAACAGAAGATTAACACAGTGGGAGGAGAAATCTTTGAATCCAAAGATTCTAAATTCTCCAATATAAGGTTTAACATTTAATTTTTTATATAGGTAAAAGGCAAACATTTTCTGACTGTAGAAGCCTTAATGTCTCATTTATCCCTAAAATTCTAAAAAAGCATAATTGCTTAAATCTTTAAAGTTGAGGCAGAAGTAATTTTATTATACTATAAAAACATACTTACAGCACATTGACTGTGAAAGGGAAAAATAAATATAATTTAGAATGCAAAATAATTTCAGCTATCTTTTGCTCTGAATTCTCCAGAAACAGTGGTTTCTACCACTGCACTGTAAGCCTATGTTTGTAAGCAATGGAAACCTTTGTTTAAACAAAAGCTGATGCAGAGTCCCTGTGAAATGCTGCTGAGTGAAGACCTGCTCTAGCTGAAGCAGAAAGCCTCCCTACCTACAGCCCTGGAGCCACTAGGACTCGGCCAAGCATGTGCCTACCCTGACTAGAGAAAGCGCTTGGTTTTCTGAGATACCCACACCTGGGCTGTCAAGACATTTCCATCCCAGTTTAATTTGCAGGAGAACACAGAATAATCCATCATCCTTTAGTTCCAAGATATTGGTATATTTTATAGGTATCAAAACAGTGCCTTTTATTTTGGAACAGTGTACTTTTTAAAATTATCGAGCACGTTCTGTCTTCCCTAAGCCAGGCTGTTCAATATGATGGCAAATGAAACTGGCAGGGTCCCTGCTAATAAGTGAATAAACAAAAAAGTTGTAATAAAGAAGCAAATAATTTCAGATCATGATAAGTGTAATAAAAGAAATAAAGTAAGCGTTTAAAATAGGAAGGTGAGGAGATGACATTTGATACGAGACTTAAAAGTAATTATTAAGAAATAAACCGTTAATTTAATTTGTAAACTGCAGGCGTCATTTCAGGACTTGTTTTTCTTTGCATATATAGTGGTGAGACAGTGAATAAAGTAGTTTTTAAATGGAAACAAATAGATGTGTTCTTATTCAACTTAGAAAACCTAAGCATTTTATTTGATGTTGTTGGTATTAAACATTGTTTTTTAATGTAACTGTTACAACTGGATAGAGCAGAAGGAAGAGAAAATACTTTGATACCATTCTGTCCTAGAATTAACACACCTTTGATTTGCTCTTGGGTAGAAGTTTGTGTGATTGCCAGCTTGAGTTCTTGCTCATATATACTAAATACCATGCAAAATGGGTTAAAATTAATTTTTATTAGATATTACTGTATTTGCTGCTTTCACCTTCCTCCTGCTACCAGGAGGCAATATAGGATTAGACAGACCACTTCCCCTGCCCCAGCCTCTTTCCCTTTTCCCCCAATCTTAACAGAAACTAGATTTTAGCAATACAACATCTGTAGTGTAAAAAGTAAGTTAGCGTAGTAGAAGAAGCCTTCTACGTAGAGATGGACAGACCTGGGTTTAAATGATGACTCTACTATTTAGGAGCCATTGGAACTTCGGCAAGTTATTTAACTTCTTAGGATTCCTTCAGGTGCAAATGACAAGAGAAACCCAATTCACACCATCCTAAGCAAAAGTACTAGCTTTAAAGGATTGTGGAGTAGCTCATACAGTCTAAAGAACTGTAGGAACTAGAGTCTCAAGGGCTGGATTCTGGAGCTTAAAACTGCCAGCACTTACACTATATCCACTTATTTTTACTTATCTTTGCAAATGGGCCTAATGAACACTGCAGAGAAGTTTCATTACAGGGCCTGTAAATATGACCTTGGGCTGCTCCAGGCCCGTGTCCTTCAGCACAGTGTCATTATAAGGTAGGGGAAAAGTGCCCTGTGATTGACAGTCCCCCCGAGTCCCCCCAGGAACACTCGGCCTGGGGAAGCGGTTCCTGAACAGGGAGTGGAGTTATCAAAAGAGAGGGACGAGAAAGTCTGCTGGGCAGACCTGAGTCACCCGCACATGCGTTGGCAGAGCTGCTGCAGTCCGTAGAGCTGGGAAGAAGCCCCAGTAATCTTCATATATCAAAAAGTGAAAGGCTTTCTGAGGTAGGATGTTTTCTTGGAATGATCTCTGGAATGTTTTCTGTCTCTTATAAGCTGGTTGTTTTCTTTGTCTTGCCAATTTCAGTCTGGTTTTGCACCCCCAGAAGAAGCATGTGTTGTATCATAGGCTTAAAGCTGAAAGCAAAAAAGGGAATTCAGAATGTGTTTCTTAATCTCCCATTTGGTTTTCATTTTTTAAATAGCTGATCTTTGTGTTTTGTTTGTGTGGCTTTGATTGTCCCCTAGGGAGGGGGTTTGTCATCTGTATCTCATGCAGTGCCAAGTGCTTGAGAAACGATAAATAATAATAATGCTGAAAAAACAGACTGGACCAACACAGCGAGAAAGCCACACTGTGTAAATAATTAATGAGAATCAAAAAGCCTGCATAATTTTGGGTTTTGGCTGAGATTTTTAGAATCATAGTTATTGCTTTAAAATTACTTTTGGCATTTCTTTCTTTCTTTTTTTTTAATTTTTTGTTTATTGCAGTAACATTGGTTTATAACATTGTATAAATTTCAGGTGTACATCATTATAATTCTATTTCTGCATAGAT